AAAAAGCTTTCCACAAAATTAGAAACTAGGAAATTTTACATAGGACTCGTAATAACCTTTGCATACTCCGGCTCCAGGAGCACGAAGCCCAGCAGGTTGAAAGACCATAGGCAATTCACTGTGATGCCCATTGACCTATATTAAACATACTAAATTTAATGGGACTAGGAGGGCAGTGAAAATCCCGCTGCACGAATCATTTGAAGACGGTCTTCTGTGTATGGATTAAAATATGGTATTGTTGTTCTTGGTGCAATGCAGCTACGTACAGTATTTATCCAGCAGTTCACAAAGCAGCAGAGAGTTGATTATAAACAGCTTATTTCTATTCTAGTTAAATGCTCTTGGACTTATATGACTATAGCAAGCCTGATCGCCTACGAGTGTTTCAGAAATTCTGTGGGAGTCGAGGTATCTCTGAAGCTGATCTTAATGAAAATTTCTGGGTCAGCTCTTAGGCTTTTCTTTTCTTTTGAATGGTATTGGTTTTAAAATATTGAATGCCTTTTCTTTGCTGTTTTACTGTCTGTGGCCCTTCCTGAGTTTTATTGTTGTTTTTGGTGCTGTTCCTACATTGCATTTTATTATTCCTAATTTTATAAAGTCATCTGGATTTTTTGAATCAGTAGTAGCTAAATAGTTCGTTAAATATTGTGTCCTTGTTTATCCAAATGATTGAAAGATCACATTCTAAGTGAGTTCTATTCCTATGTTATCAGAACAGGAGAAAAGCAGGGTTGGCCATTCCACCAGGCAGAAGTGAACCAACTGTCTTGGGCGATGCTGGGTTTTGTGCTAGGGTGGCTAAAAAGAGAATGGGGCATACAACCAGTGCTGTTGCCCTCAAAAGGATACTATCACATAATTAATCTTGAACTAAGATTCAACTGTTGATCCCGTTGTGTATGAAAGGAAGGCATCTTCATGTGAAACATCTGGGCTGAGCTCCAGAAGCAAGAATGCAATAGAAATCTGATCCATCACCCATTATTCTCTACTATATTTCCCTCAGTAACTGGATTGGTATAGGTACAACTATTTATCTTTTACATATTATTTGTGCAGATGCAACAAAAGTTATTACTGCACGAAGATTGGATTATTTAGCAAGACATTTATTCATGTATTTAAACTGCTTTCTGGACATTTAGAAATAGAGCTTAAATCTGTCATGTGCAAGAGTATAATAAAACCTGATTTTAAAATAATAATAACAAGAGAAGCAGCTTCAAAGGACTAATGTACAATGACAGACCCCAGTCATGAAACTCACGGTATGACTTCGGCCCAGTCTCTGACTCTTGGCCTAACCTACCTCATGCAGTAAGGACAAATCAGGTGCAATACGTACCGCAGTTTGGGCTCATGGGAGGCAGGAGGAATATAACTTCGGCAAAGAAAATAAAGAAATAAAGGCAAGGGAAAACTCATGACTTTCATCTTAGAATCTGAACAAATACTATAAATCTGAACCAATGGATCTGTTGCAGGAGAATACCATGATTGCTGATTTCATTACTAGAGAATATGAGTCATCCTTGCCCAGGCAAATGGCTTTCTTGTAATTGTAAATATTGCGTAACCATTTATTCCAAGTGTCATGAGCACAAAATGAAGCACCTGTGATGTACAGCTAGAAGCATTTCAGGTTCACCTGCCATCACAATATGGGACTGTTATTAGAATGCTGACACTTCATCATTTATATTTTCTACCATGGGATTTTCTTGGTAAAAATAGAGGAATGTTTACCATTGCCTTCTCCCATGCAGTATGAATCAATGCCTTTGCCATTGTCACTAAAGTTTGCCATTGTCACATCCTCTGCCTCCAGCATCTTCCTATATTGCTGCTGCCCAGTATAGGTACCTGCTTGCTTTATTGGGCAGCTGAGATGATCTTCACATCTTGGATGGCCCTTCTGGGAATATACACCCTTTGCATATGCTCTCGATGTTCTTTGCTCATCCTTCCCAGGAACAACTCCCCTGCCAGAAGAAGGCAGCACTGCAGGGTGTGTGTGTGTGCATGTGTGTGCTCACTAGAGGTACAGATGACCAGGCTCAAATGATTCTGTTTTGGACACATTATGCAAAGACCTAGCTCTCTGGACAAAGCTCTAATGATGGGAAAAGTGGAAGGAAAGAGAAAAAGAAGATGAGAGCAGCAAGGTGGATGGATTCAGTTACAGTGGTGATGGGTTCACCATTAGAAGACCTGAGGGACCAGGTTAGAGCAGATCATCACGGAGAAAATCTATCTATGTGGTTGCTAAGAGTTGACACTGACTTGATGGCATATAATCAATCAATCACTCAATCTCCATCCATTTCTAGGCTAAACACTTCTCAATCTATTGCTCGTGTACAGAACATTAAGGAATTAAACAAAAATGATGGACCACCTTCTTGAAATATAAGGTCACACTTAATATATTTGGGGACAGCAAGGGCTGCAGCTATGATGCAAGTGAAGCTGTGTCCTGCACACAGGCAGGGCCAGATTCCCCCCCCCCCATTTTGGTCGGGTTATTTGTTTTAAAACTATGCAAGTCTTTATGGCTTATCCTATAGATTCCATGTGTTTCCAACCTCAAAATGGCAGAAAACTGTGCCATTGTTGTTGTTGTTGTTTTTTTTAGTAACAGTGGTCCAAAGGAAATGTAAGCTGTAGAAAACAAGATAGGAAAACAAGCAAAGCATAGCTTTTAGAATTTTTCCTACCCCGTCCATTACTAGTAGTTCTCTGGGTCATGTGATCAGGAAGGAAGAGGGAGGAGGAATCAGTAACATTCTGAGCTACTGCTGAACTTTCTGTCCAATATGGATGGATTGCTGGAATTTGTTCTGGAACGTTTTTCTCCCCATATCCCTGGACCATTTTTGAACTTCTTGTTTCATTTGCTAGTTTCTCCCCTCATGACATATTTGATCCTGTCCCCCCCCCTTTTTTTAAGATTTATCCTGCTGAGTGACAGACAGACCCTGAGACCCTTTGTATAATTTCTGTACAACATTCTGATATTCTTTACAATCATCTGTTCAGTTGGAAAAATAACAAGGGGAAACCCAGACTGCATATTCCACAAAAAGCAATGCAATACTCATATGTGAATTCCAGTGTGCATTTCAGTACAAATCTAATTTACATCAGGAATTAGTAGATGTTTTTGTGCAATAGGTGTTGTTTCTACAATATATTAGTTGACTATAGGGCATAGTGCAGCACCCAAGGTCCATCTACTGACACAGCATTTCTGGTATAAATAACAGCCACTATGGTATAATAATTAAGATCTTGAACTGATATCAATGAGACCTAGATTCTAGTCCACCTTCAGCCATAGAAACTCACTGGATGACTGTAACTACTCTCAGCTCACTGATTTGGGAAAAATAGGAGGGAACTTTATGTATACCACCTTGAGCTTCTGAGTAAAAAGTGGGATATAAATCAAACAAATCCTGTCTCTTTGACCCTAAGACATACTGTTAATCTATACTGCAGGTTCAATTGACAGTGACATTATTACTGTTTTGCTATGGAACTACAGCTAGACTTCACTGAGAAATTTTATTTTTCTGTATTTATGGGGTTTATATATCCTGCTTTTCCTCCAGTAGATGGCACACAAGGTGGCCAGTAAGAATAATTTTAAAACAGTAGATTAAATCTAATTATAGTACATTAAACATTCTATTATAAAGAAAAATATAATTGAAACATACATATATTAAAACACACTGTAAAACATCAAACAACCTTGCAGCATTTCAGCTTTTATGGCTCAAATTTATTTGGAAATAACAGCCTGTTGCTTAAGCTGTTCCAAGACTGACTGCTGGTGAATGTTAGCTCGGAATAAACTTTTTAGTTGATGACAGTTTTCACAGAAAGTCAGACTTGCATTTCAGTTTAATGCATTTGTATTGTTGTTAACGTGGACTTTTAAACATAGATCTTGTCCTACAAATATCTATGTAAGAGTCATTCTATATTAAAGGCATTACCTTGTCAAAGACACAATATTCTTGGTGAAAGAATAATAGCCCCATATTTATATCAAACATTACTCTACTTACTTCTCTAAAGCATAATTCTATTATAAAAACAATTCTTGGGGTTGATTCTTTGCATTCCTTTCAAGAACCTCTGATTGTAAAGCAGTATGACACAGTGTTGACTTGATTCTGATAAGAGTTTTGTGTAATCAAAAACCCTGCATACAACATATCACTGTTCATGTTTTCAGAATGTAATTCTCTACAAGCAGCAAGAAAAAAGTACTTTATGTCAAATCAACATTTGACATAAAGAAGGTGCCATCTAGTGGAGAAAGTAAGTACAATGTTCTGGGTCACCCTGAAATATTTTAAACACTTACCTGACCTTGAAGAATGCATCTATTTTTAATCAATTTTATGAAATCTGACTATTCCCCCCCCCCAATTCAGATCTGCATTCATTTCGTAGCCCCCAGTTTCAGCAAGTCATTTATTCACTGCTAAATATTATGTCACGGGCTGAGAGATCCGTTTGACATTGAGATCAGATGCTGGGATTATGCAATGTCCAGCACCAGCAACGTTTCACAGTCCAGAAAAAGTATTGGAAGAGGAAACGGCCTGATCCAGATAAAGGGGAGAAAGAGAAGTCTCTACAGATCTGTGGGTGATATTTAGTTAAAAAGATTAAGTTACTATTATATGTATGTTTAGCCCTTTCGAACTTGCTTCCGAGCAGACGCGCGTTATGACGTGTTCTCGCAGGATGATGCATGAATCATCTGGAGGAATGGAGTGTCGTTGGCGAAACTTTATGACATAGTATTGTTTTGCTTTACATCAAGAGTAGTAGAATTGCTCCGTGATTAGACTTGCCAGGGAGCCTCCACAAGGTTTTACGGGTTTCTCTCGACAAAGTTCCTTCTTTACTGCAGGCTCATCCTGCATACAAATCTCTGCCTGCGCGGCCCTTTCGCATAGCGGAACCTTGTTGCTTCCGGCCCCGAATCCAGGGGAATGAAATATCTGTGGGATCGTGGCACTGGTAAAGAGATGATCTCCCTCTGAGGCTAAACAGTGAGCCATGGCGTGGATGCGAAGGCTGCGGAAAAACAAGTCGCTGCAATACGGAGTCCCGATGATGGTGAGCGGTCGGTGAGATGACGAAGAACAGCTAAGTTGGCAGGGACTGGGAGGGGGACTAGAAAGCGGTTGCACGTTGCAACTTAGCAG